CCCCTGGGTGTGCTGAGTGTGGGGCAGCTGAGATCCCCCACCTGCCCCGTACCCTGCGGCACCTCCTGCCTGCCCCCTGGGTGTGCTGAGTGCGGGGCAGCTGACAGAGGAGGCACAGGGCCTGCTCATGGGTGAGATCTCCCCTGTATAGCCCTGTTTGCACCTCCTGCTAGCGCCCCCCGCCACCTCCCCACACCCTGGTGTGGTTGGATGGGGGGGGAGCGGCAAGTCATGGATCAAGGACCCCCCCAGCCCTGCTGACCCCTCCCCACCCCCTCCCGCTGTGTGCAGAGGAGGATTTCTACGACAAGCTGGCAGCCTCCATCGCCCCCGAGATCTACGGGCACGAGGACGTGAAGAAGGCCCTGCTGCTGCTGCTGGTGGGGGGCGTGGACCGTAACCCCCGGGGCATGAAGATTCGGGGTGAGTCTGAGGTGGAGGGGACGGAACCCCAGGGTGAGGAAGTGCAGGGGGGCGGGGGGGTGTATATGTGTCATGGGGGGGAGGGATCGATCCCGTGGGGGGGCTGCTCTGACGCTGACCCAGCTCCTTGCCGTCTTCCTCCAGGGAACATCAACATCTGCTTGATGGGTGACCCGGGCGTGGCCAAGTCCCAGCTGCTCTCGTACATCGACCGCCTGGCCCCCCGCAGTGAGTAACACCCCACCCCGGGGGCTAGGGCGCGCCGGGGCCCGGCTGGGTGGGGCGTTCAGGGGCTTCCCAGCAGCGGTGGGGATGGGGACCCTCCGACTCCCATCTCCCCCCAGGTCAGTGCCCCACGGCCTGGGCCCACCCCCTCTGACTGTGTCCCCTCCCTTCCCCAGGTCAGTACACGACCGGGCGCGGCTCGTCGGGCGTGGGGCTGACGGCCGCCGTGCTGCGGGACCCGGTGACGGGGGAGCTGGCCCTGGAGGGCGGGGCGCTGGTCCTGGCCGACCAGGGCGTCTGCTGCATCGACGAGTTCGACAAGATGCTGGAGAGCGACCGCACGGCCATCCACGAGGTGATGGAGCAGCAGACCATCTCCATTGCCAAGGCGGGCGTGCTGGCCACCCTCAACGCCCGCTGCGCCATCCTGGCGGCCGCCAACCCCGCCTACGGGCGCTACAACCCCAAGCGCAGCCTGGAGCAGAACGTGCAGCTGCCGGCAGCCCTGCTCTCCCGCTTCGACCTGCTCTGGCTGATCCAGGACCGGCCCGACCGGGACAACGACCTGCGGTGAGAACCCGGGGGGCTCCCTCTCTGCTCGGGGGCGGCCTGGGGCCGGGATGGGGCATCCGGGCAGCAGCGCTGACGTGTGTCGCCCCCACAGGTTGGCCCAGCACATCACCTACGTCCATCAGCACAGCCGGCAGCCGCCTTGCGCCTTCCAGCAGCTCGACATGAAGCTCATGAGGTGAGAGCTCGGCCTGGCCCTAGGAGGGGGGTGGGGGCTGGTGGGTTAGAGCAGGGGGGGGCTGGGAGCCAGGACTCCTGGGTTCTCTCCACGGCTCTGGGAGGGGAGTGGGGGCTGGTGGGTTAGAGCAGGGGGGGCTGGGAGCCAGGACTCCTGGGTTCTCTCCCTGGCCCTGGGAGTGGGGTGGGGGCTGGTGGGTTAGAGCATGGGGGGCTGGGAGCCAGGACTCCTGGGTTCTCTCCCCAGCTCTGGGAGGGGAGTGGGGGCTGGTGGGTTAGAGCAGGGGGGGGCTGGGAGCCAGGACTCCTGGGTTCTCTCCCCAGCTCTGGGAGGGGATGTTGATAAATGCAAATTGACATTGGAAAACATAATCCCAACTATACGTATAAAACCATGGGGTCTAAATTAGCTGTTACCACTCAAGAAAGATCTTGGAGTCATTGTGGAGAGTTCTCTGCAAACATCCACTCAATGTGCAGCGGCAGCCAAAAAAGCGAACAGGATGTGGGAAATCATTAAGAAAGGGATAGATAATAGGACAAAAAATATCATGTTGCCTCTATATAAATCCATGGGATGCCCCCATCTTGAATACTGTGTGCAGATGTGGTCGCCCCGTCTCAAGAAAGGTCTAGTGGGACTGGAAAAGGTTCAGAAAAGGGCAACAAAAATGATGAGGGGTCTGGAACAGCTTCTGTATGAGGAGAGATTAATCAGACTGGGACTTTTCATCTTGGAAAAGAGACGACTAAGGGGGGATATGAGAGAGGTCTATAAAATCATGACTGGTGTGGAGAAAGTCAATAAGGAAGTGTTATTTACTCCGTCTCATAACACAAGAACTAGGGGACACCCAATGAAATTAATAGGCAGCAGGTTTAAAACAAACAGAAGGAAGTATTTTTTCTACCCAACGCACTGTTAACCTGTGGAACTCCTTGCCAGAAGATGTTGTGAAGGCCAAGACTATAACAGGGTTCAAAGAAGAACTAGAGAAGTTCCTGGAGGACAGATCCATCGATGGCTATTAGCAGGATGGGCAGGAATGGTGTCCCTGGCCTCTGTTTGCCAGAAGCTGGGAATGGGCGACAGGGGATGGATCACTTGGTGATTCCTTGTTCTGTTCATTCCCTCTCGGGCACCTGGCACTGGCCACTGTTGGCAGACAGGATACTGGGCTAGATGGACCTTTGCTCTGACCCAGTCTGGCCGTTCTTATGTTCCGTGGGGTCAGGTGGGTTATATGGGGGGTGGGGGGGCCTGGAAGCCAGGATTCTATGCCCTGAGCATCCTGCTGGTGGGGGGGGGGGGCAGTTTCTTTTTCTCCCTCCCCCCCCCCCCCCATATTAACCTATCTTCCCCCTGCTCCCCCCAGGCGCTACATCAGCATGTGTAAGCGGAAGCAGCCGGCCGTGCCGGAGGCGCTGGCTGATTACATCACAGCCGCCTACGTGGAGATGCGCAAGGAGGCCTGGGCCAGCAAGGACACGACCTTCACGTCGGCCCGCACACTGCTGGGCATCCTGCGCCTGGCCAGCGCCCTGGTGAGCGCCGGCCCCGGCTGGGGGTGGCGGGGCAGGGAATGGGGGGGTGGCACCGTTCATGGCTCCGCAGGGCTAAAGTGCTGACAGTGCAAGTAGCTGGCGTCTGGTTGCTACTGCAGTGTGGGGGCTTGCAGCTCTGGGGGGCCACTGGCGTCGGCGGATTCCCCCCCCTCCAGGCTGGCCTGCAGCTGGGTGCAAGGGCAGAGAGGGAGATGCCCGGAGCAGGAACCGCTCGTCCCGTCCCCCCAGCCAGTCCCAGAGGCTCCAAAGTGCTGTTCGTGCAGGTAGCGTGTGCAGCCAACTACTGCCGAGTCAGCGCTTCGCGAGCCCCCCGGACACCCCGTCGGGGGGACCCCTGCCGGCCCCATCGACTGCAGGGAGGAACCCAGAGGCCCCAGGCTGCTCTTCGGGTCATGCAGCAGCCAGGCCCCCCTCGCCCTGGGGGTGGGGATGGAGCCCCTGCCAGGCTGGGCGGGTCGGGATTGGCAGAGGTTTGGTCGGTAGCTGGGAATGGCCCGGGGCATTGACCCTCATCTTGGTCTGCTGAGGATGGATGGGTGCTGGCGGTCAAGCATTTCCGGGGCTGTGGGGCAGAGCCAGTGACCCACGTTGACCCCCTCCCCGTGCCGCCTCCCCTCCAGGCCCGGCTGCGGCTGGTGGATGTGGTGGAGAAGGAGGACGTGAACGAGGCCATGCGGCTCATGGAGATGTCCAAGGACTCGCTGCTGGGGGACAAAGGGCAGCAAACCAGGTGAGACGTGGGGTTCGTGCCCCTAACGCTCACATGCCGAGGCAGGGCTTCCGTCCCCTATGTCTCCTCCCCACACACGTACAGCCAAGGGTCCTGCTGGGGGGCAGGGCGCTCTGGGTTAGGGGCACGTTCCTGCTCAGGGAGGGGGGCGTTCCTGTGGCTCCATTCTTCTCTCCCCCCTGCCCCAAGGAAGCAGCGGATGGGATCTCTGGGGGGGCGTTCCCCGAGGCTGGGACTGGGAGCAGTGGGGGGGCTGGGGGAGGGGGTTCCCTGGGGCTGGGGGCAGTGCAGGAAGGGGTTTGTGGAGGCTGGCAGTGTGGGGGCAGTGCTGACGCATCCCCCTTTCCCCAGGACGCAGCGGGCAGCGGACGTGATCTTCGCAGCGGTGCGGGAGCTGGCGGGCGGGGTGGGCGGGCGCGCGGTGCGCTACGCCGAGGCCGAGCAGCGCTGCGTCTCCAAGGGCTTCACCCCCGCCCAGTTCCAGGCCGCGCTGGACGAGTACGAGGAGCTGAACGTCTGGCAGGTGAACCAGGCCCGGACCCGCATCACCTTCGTCTGAGCCCGCGGGAGGGGCCATCCCTGGCCCCGGCCGAGCCCAGCTTGCTCGGCACCCCCGGGGGGTCCCCCTCTTCGTGGGGTAGCTGGCTCCAGCCCCTGGCGCTGGGGGGATGTCGCCTCCCTGGGGCACTGTTGCTCCCAGATGCCCCCACGGGGCTGAGGTTGTGCCCTTGCCCCCCTGTTCTGTGCCGTGGGGTGGGGGAGGCCAGGCCTGTGTCCTTGGGGGCTCCTGCCCGGGGCTCCCTGTCATCGCAAAGGCGATTTGTTCGGCTTTTTCTCTTACCAATAAACCAGTGTTTGTATGTTACAGCGCTGCTGGGGCTGGGGCCAGGGGGTGGGTGAGGAGCTGCTAACTGGGTTGGGGGACGTCTCTAGCTCTGTCCCTGGGGGCAGCACGGGCTGTGAACTGGGGACCCCCTGCTCCACAGGTGCTGGCTGAGGGTGGAGATGGGGGGGGGGCCCCATCTCACCAGGCAGCTCCTGTCCAGCCCGGCCTGGCGGGCGAGCGCCTCCCCCCATCTCCCTGAAGGGCAGGGCTGAGCCCAGCCCCTCTGCGCTGTGGGGCAAAGCGGCTCCGTCCCGCCTGCAGGGATGAGCCCCAGTGCCCCATGCCCCACACTGCTGGGCTCTGGCCCTGTGTACAGTGAGGGAATTACCTGTCGCTCCCTGCGTCACCTCTCGGGGCCTAGAACCCAGGCGTTCTGGCTCCCAGCCCCACTGGTCGAAAGCCCTAGACGGGGGCTGGGACTGAGTGCGGGCACCTCACTTCTCCATTCTCAGCTCTACCATGGGGGGAAATGGCCTGGCCCAGCAGGGAGGGGGAGTGCGGATAAATACACACAAGATGCAAATAGGGTGGGGCTTAACACACACGCAGCTTGCTTTCCCCCCCCCCCCCCATCAGGGGCTCCCTGCAAGTTTCCATTTCCTCCTTGCTGGGGTCTCTGGTTCCTTTCCCCGCCCCCCAATGGCCGCAGCTCAGCGCACACCACATATGGGCCAGAGGCATGCACCCACAGGGCCCCCGGGGGGTTGAGAAAAGCTGCCGTAGGAGGAAAGGTTACACACAAGCAGGGCCGGTTTAGCCTTGAGAAAAGGGCGGCTGGGTGTGGGGCTGACAAACACTCTCGCTCTCTAAGGGGAGTTCGGCTCCAGAACAGGCGTCCAAGGGAGGTTTGTAAGGGCAGGTCTAGGTGCGATTGGTCCTGCCTCATCTTGGTGTCTTTACATCAGAATGGGGTCAGGTCCAGCTAGCCCAGTGTCCTCTGAGCGGGGTCAGTGTCAGAGCCTCTGAGGGAATGAACAGAACAGGCAATTACCGAGTGATCCCTGTCGGCCCCTGGGGACGCGCAGAACAGGAGGTCGCATCCCTGCCCATCCTGGCCAATAGCCATTCATGGACCTGTTCTCCAGGGACTTCTCTAGTTCTTCTTTGAACCCTGGTATAGTCTTGGCCTTCACAACATCCGCTGGCAAGGAGTTCCCCAGGCTGATGGTGCGTTGGGTGAAGAAATACTTCCTTTTGTGTGTTTTAAACCTGCTTCACCCTAGCTCTTATGAGAGGGAGTAAATAACACTTCCTTGTTTACTCTCTCCAAACCCTAGCGTGATTTTATAGACCTCTATCCTATCTGCCTGTCTTAGCTCTCCTGCTATAGAAGCGGTTTTATACCCCTTCTCTCTACCTTTTCCATTTCTAATAACACCTTTCAGAGACAGGGTGACCAGAACTGCACCGAATATTCCAGGCAGAGGCACACCATGGATTTCTCCAGTGACATTATGATATTTACTGTCTTGCTACCCCTTTCTGGGTGGTTCCTAACAGGGGGTTAGCTTGTTTGCCACTGCACATGGAGTGTTTTCAGGGAACTCTCCACACTGACTCCAAGATCTCCTCTCTCTTGAGTCTGAAGAAGTGAGGTTCTTACCCACGAAAGCTTATGCTCCCAATACTTCTGTTAGTCTCAAAGGTGCCACAGGACCCTCTGTTGCTTTTTACAGATTCAGACTAACACGGCTACCCCTCTGATACTTGATATCTCTCTTGAGTGGTAACAGCCAATTTAGACCCCATCATTTTATATGTATAGTTGGGATTATATTTTCCCATGTGCATTGCTTTACATTTATCAACATTGAATTTCATCTGCCATTTTGTGGCCCAGTCACCCAGTTTTGAGAGATCCTTTTGTAGCTCTTCGCAGTCTGCCTGGGACTTAACTATCTTGAGTAGTTTTGTATCATCTGCCAATTTTGCCACCTGTTTACCCCTTTTCCAGATCGTTTATGAATATGTGGAATAGGACTGGGCCCAGTACAGACCCCTGGGGGACACCACGATTTACTTCTCTCCATTCTGAAAACTTGACCATTTATTCCTACCCTGTTTTTCCTATCAGTTACCCAGGAGGGGACTTTCCCTCTTATCCCGTGACAGCTGACTCTGCTTAAGCGCCTTTGGTGAAGGACCTTGTCAAAGGCTTTCTGAAAATCTGAGTACACTCTATCCACTGAATCCCCCTTGTTCACATGTCTATTGACCCACCTCAAAGTTGTGTTCATCTCTGTCTATAGTACTGGTTTGTGCTGTAGTTACAAGCAGGAGTAGATTTAAATATTCAGTTACACACCACAGGGAGCGGTTCTGCAGTTTGATACTTGAGTTCCTTCCGAAGGCTTAGGGGCTGCCATCCGTGACTCATGGGTGTTGGATTTATCAGTTTGTTCCAACACCTCCTCATGTGACAGTTCCTCACAGGGGCCCAGCTGTACTCGAGGTGGGCACTCGAAGAGCAGTGCCCCGACCTGTGGAAGAGCCGCGTAAGCTCAAAGCTGGGCTCTCTCTTCAACAGAGGTTAGTTGGATACGATCTCCTCCCGCACCTCGTATCTCTAACTCCCTGTGACTAACACAACTACAGCACACATCAAGGTGAAGGCAAGGACCCCACTCCCCTCCGAGAGCCGGGGAGAGAACCCAGGAGTCCTGGCTCCCAGTCCCCCTGCTCCCCTCCCAGAGCCGGGGAGAGAACCCAGGAGTCCTGGCTCCCAGTCCCCCTGCTCCCCTCCCAGAGCCGGGGAGAGAACCCAGGAGTCCTGGCTCCCAGTCCCCCTGCTCCCCTCCCAGAGCCGGGGAGAGAACCCAGGAGTCCTGGCTCCCAG